ACTTCTGTAAAAAAAAAAAAAAAAAAAAGGCATCAAAAAGGCTTAGAAAACTCTTCCTGAAGCTCTACGGCTACACCACTTTCCAGTCAGAAACATAGGCTTGGTAGTTTGGGACAATCATGTATCTTCCAAAGTGTGGAATGTTCTGTCAAAATCAATACAAGAGAGCAGCATAAAATTGTTCAGGCAGCCATAGAAGAACCCCACAATATACAATTTCCAGATCTGCAGACCCCTCACAACTTAGCTGAAGTCAATGTTCATTGCTTGCAGCTGAATTCAACATAGTTTCAGTACCAAGCTAACACTGCTGATCTCCAGAGGGAAAAGAGGAAGGGAGCTCCAGAAGCCCCAAAACCTTGCAGTAGGGGCATATATTGACCACAAATTGCCTTCCCTTGGTTCATATTAGGTCCTTTATGAAGGAGAACAAGCAAACTCTAGCAATTGGATCTGTGATAGAATTACATCCACTTTTCAACTACCTATTTGTTTCTGTCTGAAGCCAAGTCCCAAAACGAAGCTCTAAGCTTCTCAGACCCCCAAATACAGAACCACCTTGTGCTAGATTAAAGGTAGTCCTTGCTTAGCAACTGCTGCATTTAGCAACCATTCAAAGTTATGATCGTGCTGAAAAAATAACTTTAGAATCAATGCCTGCATTTACGACCTTCGCAGCATCCCTCAGTCACATGATCACCGTTGCAGTCAGTACATGTTGTCCTGTACCTGATTTCTTGTTTTTCGTTTCCCCCCTCCTTGCAGAGTGGAGAGATTGGAAAGAAAAGGATTATGAGAGAGTAAGCAGGCACACAATGGAGAATGCACATTAAAAACAATGCACTGGTGCCAGCAGCCCTGAGTGTGCTTTGCAAACAGCCCGGTGTACTCCCCTTTGTTTGCATTTATCAAACACTTCTTGAAAAACTAAGTAGATGACATCTACTGGCTTGTCCTTATCCACATGTTATTAACGCATGTTTATTAACACAGGAGAGATTGCCTACAGAAATCACTTGTGCTCTGGGGGGGGGGGAATAATTTATGTAGGCAATCTCTCCTGTGCCTGACCTGTTCCCCCTCCTTCACAGAGCAGAGATTGAGAGGAAGAGATTACAAGAGAGTAAGCAAGCACACAATGGGGAATAAATCAGGCTGTTAGCATGCTCAGGGCTGCCGGCACCAGCGCATTGCTTTTGATGTGTATTCCCCATTGTGTGCCTGCTTAATCTGTCTTGTAATCCCTTCCTCTCCAATGAATGTAAATGCAAACATTAATTCTCTTGTTAATTATCCCAGAGCTGGGGTGAGCATTGACAAACAAAAGCTGAACGTGTGAAACTGATTAGTCATGTCAGTTTCGAGCCAGCTATGCCAGCCCCCATGTGAGGATCCCAAAGGGCAGGGGAGTGGGGAAAAGAAAAGCACAGTCACAGTCACATGATTTCCCACTTAGGAACCGCTTCACTTAACGGCAGAGGTGTCGGTCCCAATTGTGGTTGGTAAGTGAGGACTAACTGTATAGCAGTTCTCTTTTTTATCTTAATAAGATGTTCGTGTTTACTTTCTTCCTAATCAGGCCCCTAGTTGCAAGTTTTTATTGAAATCAAATGTTATACAAGTTCTGATTTCATTATGTTTTCGAGTCAGTAAGATTCTCAGGCTCTAGAACAGGGCATCCCAGGCTTGGTGGATGGCCATGCTGGCTGGGGAATTCTGGGAGTTGAAGTCCACACATTTGGAAGTTGCCAAGATTGGGAAATGCTGGTATGGAATTTCTTTCTGGAATTGTCTTTATTTCATCCAGCTGTAAACAATAATATTGCAGCGCAGCTCTCATGTGTTAATCTCATGTATACATCATGAAACTGATGGTTCTTGCCTTGTATAAATTTTTCTTTTGGATTTTGGTGGTTTGGTATATGATACTTGACTCAGCTGTTACGAGTATGTATATTTATATTTATATTT